TGCGCTAATAACTCTCGTAGCTTCTCGCGACGATCCTTTATTTCCTCTTGTTTCTCCTCCAATTTCCTCAGGAGTTCTTTTCGCCTGGTTAGTTTCAGCCAGATTTTAACCGTTATCCAAAGTAGAATGATTGTGACGCAGAAAACCTGCAGATATCCACCAAGAATCCATTGGTAATTCATTCCGCATCAGTGCAGCGGGACTAGCCGCGCACTTATGCTTACGCCCAGCGCAGCCCAGCTAGAGAAATCCATTGATGACCTTGAAGATATTGATCAAGGTGGATGCCTGACTGCCCAGGTCCAGGCTTTTTGGCAGTATCTCGCCGTCGCACAAGCATTTGGTCACAAAAAGATCTAAGCTCGCCTTCAAATACTGGTGATTCACCTTGAAAAAATGGCTATTTATGGTTAGTTGGCTGTTACTTAAAAAGCATGTCATTTTGTGCAAGCAATTATTTTAAGAAAAACCCACTTTGACATTTTGATGGTTTTGACGAACTCGTGATGGAGCAGTCAGTTTTTTCATGTTTACCTGTATCATTTATCTTCCATAAATAAGGCGCGTCCCCCTAAGGGCATGCACTTAAGTAAACTTTGTGGATTTACTCAAACTGGCAGTCGGAACAGAGGGCAGATTTCAAATCTACGATTTAGAGGAGAAAAACGGCCCGTAGGTGTGGGCAAAGACAGTGATGCAGAGGCATCGTAAGCCTGCTTCCATATGAACCAATTAACGTGCATGTAACGTCTGCGTCCACCTCGGAGCATCAGTAACTTCTGTCACCATAAAAAATTGAGCTGCCTTTCCCGCATTTTAGGCCAGTCCCAGTATCGCATTCTGCACCATACGTCCTCGCTACAGGCCCTCCACCATCTAATGTTTATGTAGGCAAATCCGGAGATAGCCTCCTGAGGTACCTTCGCGAGCAAATTTTACTGATAGAATGACCTTATTTAGAATCTTGTGCTGACCAGTGTAGCGAGTGAAACTTAGCAACCGTAATTAGAGTTAAATGCACTATTTGACTGCCCGGGTCAACTAGTGATGAGATAGGGGACAGTTTTCGATGAT